CCAAAGACCCCAGCTTCTGGGACAAGAACCCACTCTTTGAAAAAAACTGCTGGGAAAACTGGAAAAGAGTATGGCAGAAACTAGGCATAGACCCAAATCTCACACCATATACCAAAATAAAGTCAAAATGGGTTCAGGACTTAGATATAAAGGCTGATACCATAAGTAAACTGGGAGAACAAGGAATAGTTTACCTATCAGATCTATGGAGAACGGAAGAATTCATGACCAAACAGGAGTTAGAGAACATTATGAAAAAAGCAGAATAGATAATTTTGATTACATTAAATTGAAAAGTTTTTGCACAAACAAAGCCGATGCAACTAAGATTAGAAGAAAGGTAGAAAATTGGGAAAGAATTTTTACAACCAGTCTCTCTGATAAGGGCCTCATTTCTAAAATATATAATTAAGACAAATTTATAAGAGTACAAGCCATTCCCCAATTGATAAATGGTCAAAGGATATGAACAGACAGTTCTCAGATGAAGAAATTAAAGCCATCATTAGTCATGTGAAAAAATGCTCTAAATCATTATTGATTAGAAAGAATGCAAATCAAAACAACTCTGAGGTACCACATCACACCTATCAGATCGGCCAACATGACAAAACAGGAAAATGATAAATGTGGGAGAAGATGTGGGAAAATTAGAACACTAATGTATTGTTGGTGGAATTGTGAAATGATCCAACTGTTTTGGAGAACAATTTGGAACTGTGCCCAAAGGGCTATAAAAATGTGCATGCTTTTTGACCCAGCAATAGCACTTCTAGGGCTATATCCCAAAGAGATCATACAAATGGGAAAAGGACCCATATGTACAAAAACATTCATAACAGCTCTTTTGTGGTGGCAAAGAATTGGAAATTGAGAGGATGCCCATCAATTGGGGAATGGCTGAGCAAGTTGTGGTATATGAATGTAATGGAATACTATTGTGCTATAAGAAATGATGAACAGGCTGACTTCAGAAAAACCTGGAAAGACTTGTGTGGTCTGATGCTGAGTGAAGTGAGCAGAACCAAGAGAACTTTGTACACAATAACAGCCACGTTGTGTGATGACTAATATTGATAAACTGAACCCTTCTCAGCAATACAAGGATCTAAGACATCCCCCAGAGGCCTCATGATGGAAAATCCAAACATCCAAAGAAAGAACTATGGAAGTTGAATCTCTATCATTTTTTTTCTCTTCTGTTGAGTTTTGTTTCCTCTTTCTAATGGTTCCTCCTATTGGTTTTAATTTTTACTTACAACTTCACTAATGTGAAAATATATTTAATAGGGATGTAAATGCATAGCCTATATGAGATTGTGTGCCGTCTTGGGGAGGGTGGTGGGGAGGAAGGGGGAGAAAAATTTTTAAATCGAAAGCATATGGAAGTGATTGTTGATAAATAAAAATAAATTAATAAAATTTTTTAAAAAAAGAAAAATATAGGGTATTAGCTTGAGGGGCTGGCATGGTCAAGTGAAGGTTTTTAAAGGGTGGGGTAGAATTTAGCATAATTGCCAGAAGTTGGGATTTACAATGATATGGGTAAAAATGAGAAAGCAGTAATGATAAATGGGGCAAGTTTTTGGAGAAGATGGGAAGGTACGAGAGGAGATGGGATTAAGGGGAAAGAAAGAAAGAAAAAGGAGGGAAAGAGAGAGAGGAAGGAAGGAAGGTAAAGAAAGAAAAAAGAAAGGAAACTAGGTAGATAGATAGATAGATAGATAGATAGATAGAGCATTTGTTAATGCTTGGGATACAAATACCAGCAAAATGAAAGACAGTCCCCACCCTCAAGGAGCTTACATTCTAGCAAGGAAGATAACACATAAAAGGGAATGAAGATCAGACACAGGAAAGGTGGAGGAGGTACCTATGAAAGGGTAAGAGAGAGAGGAACTTAGAGAGCAGTGAGCATGCTGACTCGGGTGCTCCTCCAAATAGAGGCACAAGTAGAGGGTTTGTTGGCCTTTGTAAGGAGTGCAGCAATTTCTTCCTCAGACACAACAGGAAAGGAGAATAGGTGGAAATGTTGAGGAGTTTTGAGGTGTGGAGTAGGGGAGATGAGGGAGCTCACAATAAATACTTTTGATTTTCAGTGCAGTAGAAGGCAAGGATGCCTCCTGATCTGGAGTGGTTTGAGGAGTTGTTGTTGGCTTAAAGAGAGAAGAAAAGGTTTTGAAAAACTGCTGAGGGGTGTGAGATTGAGAATCAATTTAATTTCTTCAAGAGTCAATCGAGGAAGAATAAAAGGACTGCTATATAGCGGTGAACCCACAGATGAGATTCAATAACATCCATTTGTAGTGAACCAAGTTAGCAAGGTATGAGCAGCTCCAGGAGGGCTTAGCAGTTGCGCAGCAGGAGTGGAGAAGGCAGATTCTGGGGGTAATCCGGTACTGAAGCAGATAGTAGTAGGGGAAGAGGACAGGCAAATCGCTTGATCTGTATCTGTATATCTCTATAGATTATATATCTCTATATATGTCCATATATCTAATATATAGGATATTATAATTATACCAGATACATCTATAATCTATATAATACAACCAAATCTGTGTTAAAGCAAATCAATACCTATAATCTCTATGTTACAAGCAAATCAATAGATATATGTCTATAATCTATATAGATACATGTATGTATCTATATAGATTATCTATATCTATACACACACATATACATATATAATTGAAATGATTAACTATGGAGTTAGTTTGTTAAGGGAAGAAAGTGATATCAGAGTAGCAGTGATGGTCTGGAAGAATAGGGTGGGGTGGACAGTGAGGGTCAATGAGGCAGAGGAGAGATGGAAGGTCAGTAAATTATGATAAAAGAATTCTATATTCTTTTCTTCCCTTATTTTTAATTACACATATGTATAGTACTTTGTAAACCTTAAGGCACTATATAAGCTTATCTTCATCATCATCATCATCATTATTATTATTATTATTATTACTCATGCCTACCACTCCACAGTCTCTTGCTGTGTCATCATCAATGACGATCCTTTAACCATAGGGGTCACTCCTGGGTATTGTTCTTTCTCTAAAATCACTCTCCCTTAAGGATCTTAGCAGTACTTATAGATTCAATTATCCTCTTTATTTGTATGACTACCAGATCTGTATCTCCAACTCTGTTGAACTCCAGTCTCCACCTATATCTACACCACTCAGCCTTCCCTGGTAACAAATATATACAGCCTAGGGGAAAAGTCAATATAGTGACCAGCTCTGAAAAATGTATGTTTCATGATCTGCATGAGTCCATTACTTTTCTGTCAAGATGTAGGAGGCATTTCTTAAAAAATCAGTCTTGTGATTGTTTTTCTGAATTCATTATATTTCATATTCCTCATAGGATGATAAAATTCTGTTACTTTTCGCATATATCACAGTTTGTCCAGCCATTCCCCAACTGACGGGCACTTCTTTTGTTTCCAGTTCTTTGCTATTATAAAAGCGCTTTCTGCTTCTTGCTTTGGCAACAGTAATCAAATAGTTTCTAGCATTGCTACTAGAAAGGGTGTGTGTTCTCTTCATTTGCCTGCAAGGTGCTCTGTTCTTCCTTGGAAACTAAGGTCCCATTGGGCTAGGTAACTAGCGCTATTACAAGCAACAGTCAATCCTTGACCAGAGTGTGAAATGGCCAATTTGCCTGAATCTACTCCGCCCTCATCCTTCATATTGGCATTGAGGTCACAGTGCTGGAGGATAAAATTAATTCCATCATTAGAGCATCAGATGTAAATGTTGAACCATTCTGACCTGGTTTATTTGCAAAGACCCTGTCCAGTGTTAACACTGGAATTCTCATCTGTAATGTCAAAGTTGCAAGACCTACCTAGTAGCTGGTGCTGCCCCTGCTGAGGAGATTGCTAATGTAGCTGCCAAGGAGGAAAAAAAGCAAATTATGCAGATTCAGATGACATGTTGTTTATTTTTGTTGTTTTTTTTTAACTTAAATTTGCAACATGTTAAATACAAATCTTCATTCAAAAAAAAATGTAATAGCCTACTTCTCTACTCATATTCTAAGACTCTGCAAACCCAAATTCCCTTCCCTAGCACCCAGCCCCGTAGATATCACAAGAGTATAAACACCTGAAGGATAGGACAGGGGCTGTCTTACTTTTTTCATAAAACCAGCTCTTAGTTTTATTTATTAGTTCAATAATTTTCATAATTTCAATTTTATTAATCTCTCCTTTGGTTTTCAGAATTTCTAATTTGTGTCTTACTTTTTTTCATTTATGTCTTGAGTGGCCTTGCTAGCATAGTGCCTGGCACATAGTAGCTGTTTAAAAAAAATTAGTCATTTATTCAGCAGATTTCCTGCATTTCTCTGACCTGCATTACTTAATAGTCTTCACAGGTTGCTACAAATTCCTCATACAATTTCTTATGACACAATTATATTGCATCATATTCATGTATCATAATCAGCCATTCCCCCAATCGATAGCCTTGTTGCTGGAGTGCTGCTCTGAATATTTAATTATATATGGCGCCTTTCTGTCAGTGTGGTACAGTAGAGACAATGCTGGATTTGGAGTCAGAGGATCTGGGTTCAAATCCAGACTCTGCTGTTTACTACCTGCATGACCTTGGACAGTCACACTCTCTCTGGGTTTCAGTTTCCTTCTCTGTAGACTAAATGACCTCTTAGGACTCTTTCAGCTCTAATCCCATATCTCATGATCCTCTGCAGTGGAATCCTGGCTCCAAGGTAGTCCTATCCTATGTAAGGGTCAGGTTCTAAAGTCAGTGCCCAAGGAGCAGACTCTGTGTAATAAGTCAAAATCACCCTTGAAAATCCCTGAAATCCTCCAGAATGGCCCACACGGCATCTTTAAACAGTTGTAACTGAAAAGGGATTAGGGTCTCTTTAAAATAAGGCAGTCTTGAGTCTGAGAGCAGATGGATCTGAGATGGCTGCTATAGAAACAACTGAATGTTTGTGTTTTTCACATACACAGCTAAATTGTTGAGAGAGGAGAGAACCAGGACTTTTACTCAAATAGAAGAAAGCCAATGCAGTTAAAGAATTAGTTGGCAGAAAAACTCACGATTCAGCTCTGAAACACACAGGACTGTCACACAATAAAAAGAGAAGATTTGAGACAACTACAATGGAGACAACTGAAGGTAGACTTTGTTTTTCACAAACCCCGGGCAACTCTCTATGAGTCCCAGAGAAAATGATTATCCACTTTGGGAGAGGAGGCTGCTCCTCAGGTACTCCCTCCCCAGAGGAAATCCCAGCACTGGTCCAAACTCCTCCCCTCCACTTTAAGAAATCACCAAGATAAAAAATACCTTAGAAAGTGCTTGATATAGACATGTGATTATATTAAACTGTGATCATGCCACTAGAGAGCTATTTCTTCTTTCTTCTCAACAAAGCAAGATGGGGCACAAGGAAGTCAAAAGAAACAGGAGTAGGGGGGGGGCCTTCTACCTGCCCAGGCATATTAGGAAGGCCAACTGAGGCTGTCCCTTCTCATTACACAAGCAGAACAGATAGACTGTCAGTGGGTAGAAGTAAGAAGAGATTCTGGAACTGCATTCTATGGCAAGATGAGATACTAAAAGGGGGAAGGGAATAAGCATTTATTAAGCCCTACTATATGCCAGGTACCAAGCCAAGTATACTCTACAAACATTATTTCATTTGATACAACAGAATTATGATCCTCATTTTGAAGCTGAGGAAACTGAGGCAGATAGAGGTAAAGTGGCTTGTTCAGGGATACATAGCCAGAAGTGTCTGAGGATGAATTTGAACTCAGGTCTTTTGACTTCTGGAACAACACTCTATCCACTGAGCTACCTAGCTGCCTTTAAAGAGGAATATGTGAATTGAGATCAAGTAAAGAAAAAGTATATTCATGTCTTCCATCTCAGGCTGAGTCTGGAGCATTGAGTGGAAAGCAGTCCCTGTTCACTCTTTAAATCATTACGGTTTAACCCTTTTAACGGAGACCCTCTTGTCCTGGAGATCCTGCTGTTCTGACTGGTAAGTGATTCGCCAGATTCACTCTTTCAAGCAAGTATTTCACTTGACTTCCCCTTCTCACCTATCTTCTCACCAGCTCATCTTCCCACTCTTCCTCTTGGTTTTAGAGTTCTGGAAACATGATCAAATTAATTCTGTTATTGCTACTGGAAGGGATGAGTGAAAATACTCCTTTATGGTCCCCTTGCCATCCTGGTAACTTTCTCAACAAGCCTCTGCCATATTTGTGTTGGCTCCCCTCATTAGACTGTAAGGGGCAGCTAAGTGGCTCAGTGGAAGGAGTGCTGAGCCTGGAATCAGGAAGACTCGTCTTTCTGAGCTCAAATCTGGCCTCAGATACTTACTAGCTGTGTGACCCTGGGCAAGTCACTTAACCCTGTTTGCCTCAGTTCCTCATCTATAAAAATGAACTAGAGAAGGAAATGGCAAATCACTCCAGTATCTTTGCCAAGAAAACTCCAAATGGGGTCACAAAGAGTTGGACACGACCAAAATCACTTAACAAGCTAGAATATAAGTTTTGTGGTGGGCAGGCACTATTTTTCCTTGTGTATTTTTATGACTAGTGTTTAGCACAATGCTTGGTGCAGAGTAAGCACTTAATAAATGCTTGTTCATTCATGTAATCACTTACTTATTTTTGCTGAATTTGTGAATTCAATATATAGTTGGACTATATATTATATATGTTGAACTACATATAGTTTAACTATATGTTGAATTCATATAAGTTAAGTACATATATGACTAATGTAGTGACTTTTCTTGAATGAATATACGTTATTTTCCAGGAGTTCTGTTGATGGAATCCTAGCCACTGCTCCTAGCTAGCCCCAGACTCAATATTCCAACTTCCTCATATGCTTCACTGCCTCATTACAATAGCAGGTGTGCCCATGTTCTCAAACACATCAATCATTTAGCCTCAGAATGACTATAATAGCCAGCCAATTAGAAAGCAGCACCAATAGGACATGGACCTGCATGTTTGACCACTAAATCACAGCCTAAGTGGAGTAATAGGAAAGAACTATCCTAAGGTGAACTTATGACAAAGAGAGGCTTATTATAATATTGTTATCATACATAAATGCCACCCACACACACAGTGGGCTTTTCTGTATGCCTTCTGGGTAACCACATGTACAGTTTCACCAAGGTGAGGACCCCTCCTCATTTTAGTAAACTCTTCCTCTGTTTTAATAATCATATATTCTGCAATGCATATGCATATATTCTGTTATGTAATAGATTCATTCGCTCTGTAAAAATCCCTATCCTGCTTTGCCAAGGGGCTGGTTCCTTCCTGGAGCCCAGTCCAATTTCTGAGAGGCTTAATTCTCAATAAATGCCTTTTCTTGGTTTGGAGATGGTCTGAATCTGTGAATTCTTTTGAGACAACCCTAAAACTCACCTTGAACCTCAATATATTTTGGCATTCCTGGGTGGGCCTAGTCTCTGATTCTGACCTACCCCTCCAATCCAAAGTAACCCTATCCCTTTCCCCTGTCTTAGCTGCGGTCCCTCAAGTATCTAGGAGGGCTTGATGGGACACTTGGGCCCTAGTGCCCATGGGCAATTTCCCTTTTAGGAACTTTGCTATGGGTAATTTCCCTCTAGATAGAAGATGTTCTGTTTGGGAACTTTCTCCCTCTTTGTGCAATGCAGAGTAGAGGTGAGTGGTGGCTATAGGAGGGATTTCTTTAGGCTTACTGACAATATGGGACAGTTTCTGGACTCCCCACTAGGGTGCCTCCTGAAAAATTGGGGCAAATTGGTTTACAAGACCTAAAAAGGAGGCACGTCATATTTTTCTGTAATAAAGCTTGCCCTCAATATAACCTAGAGGACCAGGAAAGATGTCCTATGGGAGAGTCCCTTGATTACAATACTATTTTCCAGCTTGACTTCTATGGCTGCCTCGAGGGGAAGTGGATTGAGGTCTCATATGTCCAGGCCTTCATGGCCCTCTTACAAGATCAGATTCTGTGGCAATAGAGTAGAGTGTTCCTGGCTAAATTCTCTCCAGGCAAAAAGGAGGAATCACCTGACATCTTTGAAGATGCCCTCCTTTCAAACCCGGAGTCCTAGAGCTTCCACTCTCTTCCCACTGGAGTTGAGGACCCGTATCAGGAAGCTTGTAGCTCCTCTGAGACCCTCCCCCTTATCCACCAAATCCCACTCCTCACTGGTCCTGGACCTTCACTTCCAATGTTGGACTCCATGACCTCCCAGCAATCCCTGCTCCTTAGTCCCTCCCGTACTATGAGCAGGACTCTTTTTCTTCCTACTCCCCAAGCCCCTGACTCAATCACCCCTACTCTTTCATCTCCTTCCTTTGAGGAAAGTAGCAGCCCCCCAGGGGGTACAATTAGGGTTCATGTCCCCTTCTCGATGTTAAGGAAATTTACCCAGGTTAAGGAAAAACTTGGCAATTACTCTGAGAACCCCACCAAATTTGCTGAGGGCTTTAAAACTGGCCCTACAATTTGACCTTACTTGAGGAGATGTTAATATCATTATCTCTCCCTGTTTCACAGTTGAGAAGAAAAGGAGAATCTGGGATTTAGCTCAAAAATTGGGGAATGATAATCTGTGTCTTCCCTCTGGGGAAGGTACTCTCCCCCCATCCTGGGTGCTACTGCTACTCCTGTTGTTGACCCCAGATGGGACTGCCAGGAAGGTAGCACAGACAGGGAGAAAAGGGACCACATGTTAACTTACCTCACTGAAGATATGATAAGGGGAATTATGAAACACGAAACACGTCAGTCGTGAAAAGCTTAAGGAGGTTACTCAGGGAACTGAAGAAAACTCCACCCTTTTTTAAAGGCAATTGGTGGAGGCTCTTAAAAAGCACACCAGTGTAGACCGCACCTCCCTAGAAAAGGGCTGCGATCCTTGACATGCACTTCATTAGTCAGCCTGCCTTAGATATTTGGAGGAAACTGCAGAAGTTAGCCATGGGTCCCCACATACCACAAACCCAACTTTTGAAAACAGCTTTTGGAGTTTTCAACAATAGGGACCAAGCTTCAGCAGAGGGAAAGGAGTGCGGGGCTAGGGCTAACAATGGAGAGCATGCTCAACTTTTGGCTGCCACCATATTACAGAACCCAGAAAAATCCCATTAGTGACACTCATGAAGAGGGTTAGTGCTTCCACTGTCACAAGCAGGGCCATTGGTCTCACAACTGCCCCAGGCCTGTGCCCTATCTGTAATCAGGAAGGCATTGGAAGAGAAACTGCCCACAAGGAGGTTGAGCTACTTCCTCCCACTACCCTGTACTCCAGTCTCCTCAGGACAAGGAATTAAGGGGCCTGGGATTCTCCATCACCATGGCTGAAACCTGGGTAACTGTAGATGTGGCAGGTAAGATCATTAATTCTTTCATTGATACAGGAGCCACTTACTCTATCCTACCCCAGCACTCTAGCACCACTTGTCTGTCCTTCATAACAGCAGGTCATGGGGATCGAAGGTAAATTTAGAAAGTGCATTATGACCCTCTCTCTGCCTTGCCAGCTTGCAGATCTGTTGATTACTCCTTCCTAGTCCTCCCTTCCTTCCCAGTTCCTTTGCTAGCGATGGGGTGTGGGCCCAAGCTGAGATCTTCACCCCTTGCCCCAAAGGAAATCTGGCTCCTATTTGTCTATAGGCCCCAGCTCCTCATCTCCCTTTGAAAGCCTTAGTCCTACCTTTTGATCTTATTCAGATGTGCCTTTGCCCCTTGTCCTAAAAAGAATCTGGCTCCCATTTGTCTAGGGGTCCCAGAAAATCCTTAAACTTTTAGGTTTCTTATTGACTCCCTTATCTCCCTTTGAAAGCCCTAACCCTCCCTTTTGATCTTATGCCTTTCAACCTTCTTCCTTCCACTTCCTCTCATTATCTATTCCCATTGTCAATTCAATCTCTGAGACCTTCCAATTGGAATTCTCACCTAGACCCTTTTCCCAGACCCCTCCTCTGGCCACCCAAAGATACTTTAGTATATTTAAGATCTACCCTGGCCCCCATTAAATGCTGAGAATCTCTCATGCCCCAAAGGCTGAGCTTTTCTCATGCCTGCTCGTCCTGATGGGTGTCACCTGGCCTATATGTTTTATCTCTAATAAACTTTTTCTCTGGCTGGGAGAAGATTTGAGTTGAATTGATTTAGGCAGGGCCTGGTGTCACAATCTCGGGGATTCCCAGGAGCACCCCCAAATCTCTAGATCTCTTCACTAGGACAGGATCTAATGGTGAAATTGGGGTCCCACTTCTCTCTCCTTAAGCCACAGGGAACACTATTGCTACTCTCCTCACGGCCCCCTCATATTCCACCTGAAATTTGGGAGAAAGTAGACACCTCAGTTTGGGATCAGGGAATTCCAGGGCAAACCACTTATGCAACTCTGGCACTTATTCCAAATGTATTTCCCCACTGGGCGCCAGTATCCAATTAAGCCTGAGGCCTAGGAGGAATTGAAACCACTAATTGAGAAATTCCTCAAATATAAACTTCTGATTTCATGCCAGTCCCCCAGTAACACCCCCATACTTCCAGTTAAAAAGCCAAATGGGGATTACCATATGATGCAAGATCTGAAGGCTGTTAATAAAGCTGTTGTCTCTATTCACCCTATAGTGCCTAATCCCTATACCATTCTTACTCAAATCTGGGGGAATACCTAGTGGTTTTCCACCCTGGACCTTAAAGGTGCTTTCTTTTTTATCCCATTCCATCAAAATTCCCAGTTTATTTTTGCTTTTGAATGGACATCCCCAGGACAATCCATCCCACGCTAATGAACCGGACAGTCCTGCCCCGAGATAGTCCCCACCTATTCAGCGAAGCTTTAGGGAAAGATTTGAGGGATCTGGAGTTAGCAGTTTGGTTCAGTATGTAGACATTATTCTTATCTGTAACCAGCTTCTTTAACTGCTGCTAAACAGACCCTTAATTTCCCAGGTACTTGGGGCTACAGAGTTTCTTTAGCTAACACCCAAATTACCTGTCAATCTGTGAAATATTTAGGTCATGAGCTAACTCCCATGTCCCCATTCTCTAACAACAGGAACAAAGTGAGCAATTTTATCTATCCCTGTTCCAGCTACTAAAAAACAGCAATGTACCTTTCTGGGCATGGCTGGATTTTGTAGAATCTGGATCCCTAATTTTGGTATTATTGCCAAGTCCCTTTATGATTCTACTCAGGGCCCTGACTCACTTCCTTTAGAATGGGAACCGTATCAAACTGGTATACCGAGAAATTAGTGAGTTGACCACTCAGGCTAATTTTAAATTGTGGACTTTATTAGCTATTAACGCGCGGCTGCCAGGGGTATTCACATCCAAATCAAGCAGCCCTCATCTGGGGTCGAGCCAGGGTTTATATAGGGAGTATACAGGACAGGGAGGGGGATGGATCTTTGAAGTCTGGCAAGAGGAAGAGGTTTTTTTGGGGGCTGGTCAAGGACACCCCTCTCCCTCTGTGTAGATATGATAATGCTCTGCAAACTTTCTTACAATGGAGGCTTCCAGAGATATGATCTGAGGGCTGTGGCCTGAGCAGCCAGATAAGGGTCTTGCTAAGGAATTTGGAGTTTTCCAGAGATATGATCTGAGGGCTAGGACCTGAGCAGCCAGATAAGGATCTTGCTGAGGCCCATGCATGAATACTGCTAGGCACAGCATCCTTGGGCTGGGGAGTGGTTGTTAGAGATAGTGTTTCTGAGACTAGGGAGGTATTTTGGGGGCAAAAGTATAAGCATAAGCATCCGAGCACCCCATCATTATAGGTCAGGGATCACACAAACCAGACCAGGTGTCCTGGTTTCTGGTATAAGCATAATTATCTAAAGCCATTGTATTGCAAGTTTTCTTATCCATTTGCTTTGGAGGTATGGGCTGTGCTTAAGCTATGCAGGAGTACATTTCACTATTGTTTAGATTTAGGAGGAAAGAGGTGTGGGGCAAGATTAAGCAGCAACTTCTGCTTTCCATTGCCTAAAGGGCCCTACTACCTAAATGGTAAAATAATGTTCTGCATTACAAAACTAGCACATTTTGGACCTTGAAAGCTAAATGAAACACCACTCCAGCATTAAATGTCTTACTAAATCTGGAAAAGCCTTTTACCCTGTATGTAGATGAGAGAGGGAGCCAGGCTTTGGGAGTTTTAACTCAGTCTCTGGGACTTGATCCACGCCCAGTAGCCTACTTTTCTAAACAACTCCATTCAGTTGCTTTTGGATGGCCTTCCTGCCTCTGGGCCCTGGCCTCCAAACTTACTGTCCACCAGCCTTTACAAGTTCTAACTCCTCACTGGGTTTAAAGTACTGTAGAAGCCAAGGGCCACTGGTGGCTGGCTAGTGGGAGGCTCACTAAGTATCAGGCTCTCCTTTTAGACACTCCTGACTTGACTGTCTCGGTGGGTCACACTCTCAACCCAGTGACTCTTTTGCCTGACAATGCCTGCTCTAATGATTTGAGTCATGACTGTGAGGAAACCCTAAACTCCATCTATTCCAGCTGATCAGATTTAAAAGACCTCCCCCTCACCAATCCTGGTGAGGAGCTGTACATGGATGGATCCAGTTTTATTGAAGAAGGGGTGAGGAGAGTGGGATATGCAGTAGGCAGTCTCCATTGTACTGTCAAGGCAAAACCTCTGCCTTCTGGGACCTCCACCCAGAAGGCTGAGCTCATATTGATGAGGGCGGGGCCCAAGCCAAGATCTTCACCCTTTTCCTCAAAGGGAATCTGACTCACAGGCCCCAGACCCTCATCTCCCTTTGAAAGCCTTAGCTTTACCTTTTAATCTTATTCAGATGCTCCCTAAAAGCCTTAGGCTCCCTCTTGTCTATAGGCCCCAGAAAGGCCTTCCTTTATCTCCTTTTGAAAGTCCTAGCCCCACCTTGATTTTGTGCAGATGCCTTTTAAACTTCTGCCTTCCTGTTCCTCCATTATCTATTCCCATTGTCTATTCAATCTCACCGACCTCCCCAATTAGAATTGTTACCTACACCCTTTACCCAACCCCCTTCTCTGGCCACCCAAAGTTACTTTAGTATTTAAGATCCACTTTAGCCCTCATTCAGATGCTGAGAATCTCACGCTCTAAAGGCTGAGAACTTCTCATGCCCACTCATCCTTACAGGCGTCACCTGGCCTATATGTTTTATCACTAATAAACTTTTCCTCTGGCTGAAGATTTGAGTTGAATTCTTTCAGGCAGGGCCCAGTACCGTGATCTTGGGGTCCCAGCACCCCAAAACCCCTAGACCTCTTCAATATCACTTACCAGAGCCCTGAAACTAGGGGAAAATAAGAGGGTAAATATTTTTCTGATCTTAGTTCTCTAGTTCATTGCTTTTACAAAGTCACTGACACTTTGTGGAAACCCTTTATGCAGCTGCCCCCACCTAATCCATCTCCCCTCCTCACTTACCAGCACGTGACCAAACCTACCCCTAGGTAAGATGGTCCAGGCTGCTTTTTCTTCCTTCCTTCCTTCCTTCCTTCCTTCCTTCCTTCCTTCCTTCCTTCCTTCCTTTCTTGCAGTTGGGGTTAAGTGACTTGTCCAGGGTCACACAGCTAATAAGTGTCAAGTGTTTGGTCTGAATCTAGATTTGAACTCAGGTCCTCCTGACACCAGGGCTGGTGCTCTATTCACTGCACCACCTAGCTGGCCTAACTCCACCCTTTCTTAAAAGCTTTGCAGTTTTTCTAGATCATGAGGAGGTACTTGCTAATATCACCCAGACACTCGGAAATATGGTCAGGGAGACCTCTCAGTCCACTCCTTTGAGCTCTAGGAATCTCTTAATTCTCCAGTCAATGTGGTCCTTGACAATCAAATGGCCCTAGATTGTCTTTTGGCCTCTGAAGGAGGAGTCTGTGCTGCTGCTAATGCATCTTGTTGTCTGTACATCAATACTTCATATCAGGTTGAGCTCAGGACTGAAAAAATACATGAGAAGGCAGGAGGGATGAAAGAACTGCATCATGACCTAACCTCCCTCCATCTGGGGTTCTCGGTTACTTTTCATTCTATCTCCCATTTTAACTCCCCTTATCATTCTTTTCTTCCTTTTACTCTTTGGCCCTTGTATATTAAATCTCTTGGTCTGCTTTGTCTTCTCCAGCCTGACCTCTGTCAACTTCCAGATGACCCTACAGGACAAGCACCAGGAGAAACCTGAGCTCCCGATTGCAATAATACAACCCCTTGACGTGGCTCATGTGCAGTTTACACCTGTCTCCCCCATCCCCTTTGGGACCTGCTGAGGCAGGGACATCTCTATGCCCCTTGTCAGCTTGAAGAAGGTACAGAAGTCTTTTCCCTTTTCCCAATGAATTTGGGACCCAGCCTTTTGAGGGGGGAAATGATGGAATCCTAGCCACTGCCCCCAGACTCAACATTACAACTTTCTCATATGCCTCACTGCCCATGTTCTCAAACACATCATCTATTTAGCCTCAGACAGGACCACAATAGCCAGCCAATCAGAAAGCAACACCAACAGGACATGGACCAGGATGTTTGACCACTAAATCATAGCCTAAGTGGACATTGCACAGTAATAGCAAAGAACTGTCTTAAGGTGAACTTATGATGTAGAAAAGCTTATCATAATATCATTATCATACATAAGTGTGTCCCCCTGCCCTGCAATGGGTTTTTCTATGCCTTATAGGTAACCACATGTGCTGTTTCACTAAGGTGAGGGCCCCTCCTCATTTTAGTAAACTCTTCCTCTGTTTTAATGATCATATATTCTGCAATGCATATTCATATATTCTGTTATATAATCAGCTTCATTCATTCTATAAAATTCCCTATCCTGTTCTGCCAAGGGGCCAGTCCTTCTTGGAGCCTAGCCCTCTTTCTGAGAGGCATAATTCTCAATAAATGCCATTTCTTGGTTTGGAGATGGTCTGAATCTGTGAATTCTTTTGAGAAGACCTTAAAGCCTGCCTTGAACCTCAACACTATCAGTTCATATTTCCAGGAACACTGACTATATTAGTATGCCATCTTCCCAGTCTCTCCACCACAGACTATTTTCATCTTTTACCATTTTTACCAATTTGATGAATGTGAGATGATACCTCAGAATTGGTTTAATTTGTATTTACCTTATTAACAATCAATTGATAAGCATTTATTAATTGCCTGCTATGTGCCAGGCACTGTGCTAAGCAGTAGAGACATACACAAAAAAGGCAAAAGACAGTTCCTGCCCTGAAGGAGCTTACAGTCTAACAGAGGAGATAACATGTAAGCAAAATATACAAAGCAAACTATATATAGGATAAATAGGAAATAATTAACAGAGGGAAGGCAGTAGAATTAAGAGTGATTGGGGGAAGGTTTTCTATATCAGGTTGGATTTTAATTGGGACTTAACTATTTGGTGTATTTTTTAATATTGTTGACAATTTGCATTTCTTCTTTTGAAAACTGTTGATTCATGTCTTTGAACCATTTATCTAGCCATGTGACTCTGGGTCAGTCATTTCATCTGTCCGCCTCAATTTCCTCTACTGTAAAAATGGGGATGAGAGCACCTATCTTCCAGGGTTGTTGTGAGAATCAGTTGAGATATTTGTAAAGCACCCTGCATAGTACCTGTCACATTAGGGAATGGCTTTTAGATTTAGAGATTTGTGTCAATTTCCTAAAGATTTTGCATGTCATACTTTTATCAGAGATGCTTAATTTAAAATCTTTTCCCCATTTATAACTTTTCTTTTTATTCTGGATGCATGGAATCATTCATGCAAAGATTTTAAATTTTATGTAATTAAAATGATTTGTCTTTTGCCTTTATACCTTGTCTGGGTGCAAATTCTCCCACTAACCATCATTGTAAAAAAACTCTTCTGTAAGTTTTTATTATGATGTGATTTTTTTCATATTTAGATAATTTATCCACTTGGAGTATTTTGTGGAATATAACATATTAGTCTTCTCTAAACCTATTTTCTGCCAAACTGCGTGCTAATATTCCCAATAATTTTTGTCAAATAGTTCTTTTCCAAGTGTTTTGTGTCCTTGTATTAATGAGACCTCAGGCTGTATTTGTTTGCTTCTAAGTTTCCGTTATCTACTCTATTCTATATCTCTGTTTTTCTATTTTTTTAACCAGTCACAAATAGTTTTTGTTGTTTTTTAAATGTAATTCATTTTTTTTTTCAGTGAATGAAAATCCATCTTCTCTCCCTCCCACCTCTTCTCCCTTCTACCATTAAAAAAGAAAAACAAAAATCCTTGTGACAAATATGCATTGTTGTTATTGTTGTTTTTTCAGTAATGTCTGACTCTTCATGACCCCATTTGGGGTTTTCTTTGCAGAGATATTAGAGTGGTTTGTCATTTCCTTCTTCAGCTCATTTTACAGATAAGGAAACTGAGGCAAACAGGGTTAAGTGACTTGCCCAGGGTCACACAGCTAGTGTCTCAGGCCAGATTTGAACTCAGGAAGATGAGTCTTTCTGACTCCAGGCATGGCACTCCTAGCTGCACCAATTAATGGGGAAGGCAACATGCAAACCACTATGAACAAAAAATATATATACAGGATAAATTGGAGATAATCTCAGAGTGAAGGCACTAAGATAAAGGAAGACTAGGAAAGGACTCTTGCAGAAGGTGGGGCTATAGAGCTGATGCTTGAAGAAAGCCAGGGAAGCAAGGAGATGGAGATGAGGAGGGTGAGTCATGGGAGCCAGCCAGTGAAGACATTTGGAGTCAGGGGATGGAGGGTTTGAATGTTGCTGTTATCCATTGAGATTTGAAGGTCACTTCTATAACACCAAACACTGAAATAGGAATTCTGAGCACGTCACTGTTTGATGTATTAAAGTGAATGGGGTCATGTGTTGTGTTTATTTTCAGAATGTACTTTGAAATAATTTAAAATCCCTTGAGATTTTTGTATTTATTAATTTGGTAGTAGCTAACTGTTAAATTAGTCAATTTTAAAAAGCTTCAGTTGGACAAAAAGTAAGTATTCTAGATGTTGTATCATACGAGAAATAATTGAAGAAGTTAAGGATGTGGAAGTGAAGACCAAGTGGAAACTTTTCAAACTCTTGAAGAACTGTCACTAAGTTTGTCAGTTCTGGTAACAAATGACCAAAGAGTAGCAGATGTTTTGCAACCACTGTTAACTCCAAAAATACCAAAGAGGTCACACAGGTTAAAAGCAAAAAGCTTTCTTTATTCTGTTGGGGGAGAGAAATTAGACATGTGTTGGGCCTTGTCTAGTAGGAGATGAGGCAGTGGGGCTAACCCTTGATTTACATATTTGTGGCTAGACAAAGAATCAAACAGTATAGTGTAGCAACAGTGGAGGGGCAGAACAGCAGAAGTGAGGCAGGGTTGTCTAGTGACAAGAAGTCCATTCATAGAAGGGGCTTCACGTCTGGGTCTGTGGATGCTTGCCTGAGCCCTGGGACCATCAGTTCTATAATCTAGCTGCAGCGGTGTTCATCCAGAGGGTGAATGCAAAGGATTGTTGTTATGCCAAGCTCGGGACACAGTTGCTTGGCAGGCCTTTGCTCTGGAAAACAGAATGTCTCCTAATAGTAAAAAGAGAAGAGTAAAAAGAGAGGGGGTGGTTTTGGATCGTGACAGGTAGGATAAGAATAGATTTCTTGTTTTTCTCCAGAGGAAAGGATTATAACCAATCAATATTGCAGATTTCAGGAATTGTCATAAGAATTCTTAATTTAGGGTTTGGGGTCATTTTTTTTTTGTCTAGGTTATTTGGCTGGCTGAAACTCGTCCCAAGAATTGTTAAAAATCTAATCTCAAATAACTAAGAAGCCAAAAGGGAGTTAGGGCTTCCTAAAGTACTTTAATTCACTTTTTTTTTGAGGAAGGAACCCCCTGGCTCCAACCCTGTGCTTATTTTTGTAACATGTTAAATCTTTCTTCTCAATTAGCCCACTGTGAACTCTGAATCTTGGAAACTCAACTTTAATGTGACTAGGTCTGTGTGCTTTTATGGCCTACAAGGATGTAGGAGACTGTTGTCCCTCTAACATAATTGTGATCTATATAAGCTTTGTGAGAACATCAATTGGTATTGCGTTATTTTTCTGAGCTCTGCACCTGTGCTTGACCATAATAAAACCGAGTTTTCACCTTGGAATCTACACATTGCGAGTGTGATTTGGTAGTAGTTATCTATCACGTAAACTCAGCGGGAATATTTTTCTCGTAGAAGAGCTCTGAAACAATCTCTGTCCAATAATGGAACCTGAAATAACAAAAGCCCTCTCTCCATCATTAGAAACATGCAAGAAGATGGGGGATATTGTAAAGCAGAGGAGATAAACACACATATGACCCACAACTCTCCTGAGTGCAGCCAGAACCAGATTAAAACGTAATTGGGCAGTATTTAACAAAAACAAATAAAATACAATAAAACGTATATATTAACATATGTTTTTCTGAGTCAATACACAGCCTGCAGGGATCCTTGTATATGGTTTAGTGGTCTCTTTTTCTGTTGTAAAACATTCAGAGAACAGCCAGGAAAATATCTGAGGAGATTCTTGCCTTGGGTGGGGGAGTTCACTGTCTCTTCTAAAATCCCTTTCAACTTCAAGGCTATAAATACTACTCTTTCAGAAAGTGGCTTCAGTGATTCCTTTTTCACTTTCAGTGTGCTCTTTTGGTAACTGAATGGTTACGTTGCTATAATGGATATGTAATGTTCTATAAATCTGAAGTGTTAATGTGAAAGGCAGAGAGGGACCCTGGATCTTTATTATGGCCGTGGAGTCAGGAAGAGGTGGGTTCAAATTCCAGGTCTGACACACCCTGGCTGTGTGATTCTAGACAAGTTGCTGAATCCTTCAATGCCCAGGGCAACTCTCTGAGACTATAAATTACAATTGCTGATGTACTTTGGTGGATGTTTTATCAGGGAATTTCCTATGCCAATGAAATCACAGGATTGGATAAAAAAAAGTGTTACAGGAACACTGGTGAGTACTACTATTACTATTATTATGTAAGTACATAGATGGTGCAATGGGTAGAGCCTTAGGCCTGGAGTTAACAGGGACAATAATACCTCCCAGGGTTGTGAGGATACAATAATATCTGCAAAGCACTTAGTAAACCTTAAAGCACTACCTCAATTCTTAGAAAGACCATATGATAAGAAAGTACAGATTGAGGTGGTGTTACATGATTCACAAGCCACTTAAAATTCATCCTTTTCTTTCCTGCAAAAGGGAATAAATTATTTTGAATCATTTAAAAACACAACAAATATTTTTGGTATGCATATTGTTTATTGAAATAGAAAAGTCAAGGCTGCACAAATAGCTCTTTAGAACATAAAACTAAATGTTTTTGTCCATAGCAATTAATTATATTCAGCACTTATAATATGCAGTACAAAAGTGTTCTGCATTTACATGATATAAATTGCATATAATATCATGATTAAACAATGGCAACGACATTAATTAACGTGGTGAGATCCATCTTGTTCAGACTGCTGTGTTTCCCACACACTAAAGGGAAAAAAAATGCAGGTATATGATTTGTTGAATTTTGTTCCTATGTTCCAAATTCAATGATGGCAGGAGACTTACAAGGACATTGCATTTATTATTTTAAAAAAGTCACAGGACTGTTCTGAACTCATCAAAAATGAAATTAGGCACGTGTGCTTCGGCAACCTAAAACCCAGAAAGCAGAATGAAACATTTATTACATAATCAAATTCAGAGCAGATACCAAACAGTCCACATATAAATTCCTATAATATTTTCCCTGTTTAAGGAACATCCGAGGTAAAGAAATTATATTTCTCACTGGAATAAGATAAACATAGCAGAGGAATATCTTGGTAAATATATTTGGGGTTCTGTCCCTGATGATAAGATCACAATGTTTGCCTCATAGCCCCTAAAAGCACACTGCTGGTCATTGTCTAGACTTTAGCACAGCCACCTAACACTGAGGGCTCTTGGCCCTGCTCCTGACTTCATCACTGGAGCTTCACTGCTCTG